TGGGCTCCCTGCTCAGCGGGGAGCCTGCTTCTCCCTCTGACCCTTCCCCCTCTCATGTTCTTTCTCTCTCTCTCATTCTCTCTCAAATAAATAAATAAAATCTTTAAAAAAAAAGGGGGCAGCTAGAAACACCAAAGCCAGGTTTCAAACCCATGTCTATTTGCCTTGAATTTCGTATTATTATACTGCCTCTGAATAACAACTACTGCTAAGTGAAGAATCAGAGTACTCCAAGTTCATCAGGTATTAATCGGGACCGACCCAAACTCGAAAGCACTGGTATTTATGTGTAAAAGATTTTAGACAATAAAATCATTTAATAATACAGTCTATTTCTTTATCAATCATTGTATAACAAAAAGTCAAGCTCTTTGACATTTTCAACACTCCTATTCATTCCTCAATTGGCTTCTCCCGTCATCATTACACTGATAGTACTTTTTTTTTTTTTCTGAAGATTTTATTTATTTGACAGAAAGACAGCAAGAGAGGGAACACAAGCAGGGGGAGTGGCAGAGGGAGAAGCAGGCTTCCCACAGAGCAGGGAGCCCGAGGCAGGACTCGATCCCAGCACCCTGGGATCATGACCTGAGCCGAAGGCAGACGCTCAATGACCGAGCCACCCAGGCACTCCTGATAGTACTATTCTTAAGGCCTCCAGTAACCCTCAACTCCCAAATTCAGTGGATTTTCACCCCCACCCCCTCCTGACCTTATCACAGACCAAACCCAACCAACAATCTGCCGCTTCAATGTTCCTCTCCTTCCCTGGACACACTCTCAATTCTACTTCTTAATTTCCTTCCCTCTTCAGTTCCTTTCAGGAACCGGACCTTCTCCACTGCACAACCCAGTGGCAAAAGTCTGTGTGCTCTTAGATTTTAAGGAATCTTTGGCATTTTAATCCACAATACTTAACTATAAACTCCACAAAAGTGAGGTCTATTTGTTTTTGTTCCTTTAACCATAAAATAGACATTCGGTGTTTGTTGAATAAAATGAAAGCTATCTTTGGTGTAGCCTAAAACTAACATCTCACTGGAGCAGGTAGTACCTAAAAATGATACATTTTTTTTTAAAAAGTGGTAAGTCACAAACTTTCTAAACAAAGAATAGGTGGGGCTAAGTGAGTAGTTCCCCCATACAGAGCAGATAAACCTTAAGGTCTCACATACCAGCCCTGAAACTGAATGAGTCTAATTATTTTAGGATGTCTTTAGTAAATTATCAGCTTTTCCCTGATTATTTTTAAACCATGACATCTTTTTCTTAATAAAGTCAACTTTTAGTAATTTTGTTGTTGTTGTTGCTGGAAAGAATTGTGAAATATCCTACTACCCATGAAGCATACCAAATTTAGAACTTTAATTTCAGCGTTAAATATACAACGAATCAAAAGCCTAATGATGTGTGAAGAGAAAATCATCTTAAACACAGTAATCACGCAATTCCTTTTTCATTTTAGAATCACAAAATCTTAGAAATGGGAAGAAACATGAAGGTTTTGTTTCAATTCCTGTTCAACCAATAATCCTTTCTACAGAATCCTTCATAAATATTTTTGGAATCTCTGCCTGAATACTCAACTCAATCCTCTTATATTCTAATTACCTTTAAAAAGTAAATCTCTTTGCATTTTTAGGCACATAACTGAACATAACACACGTAAGGTTTTATTTATTTATTTTAATTTATTTGACAGAAAGAGACACCGCGAGAGAGGGAACACGAGGAGGAGGAGTGGGAGAGGAAGAAGCAGGCTTCCCGCGAAGGAGGGAGCCCGATGCGGGGCTCGATCCCAGGACCCCGGGACCACGACCTGAGCCGAAGGCAAACGCCCAACGACTGAGCCACCCAGGCGCCCGAACACGTAAGATTTTAAAAAGGTTAGACCTAGGTGGCTCAGTCGGTTAACCATCTGCCTTCGGCTCAGGTCATGATCCCAGGGTCCTCGGATGGAGCCCCCCATCAGGCTCCCTGCCCAGCGGGGAGTCTGCTTCTCCCTCTCCCTCTGCTGCCCCCCCCTTGCTTGTGCTCGCTCTCTCAAATAAATATAATCTTTTTTAATAAATAAAGGGCTAGAACGAGTGCTAGTAGGTTATAAGTGGCAGACCTTTTTTTTAAGATTTTATTTATTTATTTGACAGAGAGAGAGAGACAAGGAGAGAGGGAACACAAGCAGGGGGAGTGGAAGAGGGAGAGGGAGAAGCAGGCTTCCTGCTGAGCAGGGAGCCCGATGCGGGGCTCGATCCCAGGACTCTGGGATCATGACCCTAACAGAAGGCAGACGCTTAACGACTGAGCCACCCAGGAGCCCCGAATGGCAGACTTCATTTTGGCACAGGTCATGATCTCAGAGATGAGCCCCGCCTCCGGCTCCGGCTCCGGCTCCGGCTCCGGCTCCGGCTCCGGCTCCAGCTCCGCACTCAGCAAGGAGTCAGCTTGAGACCGCCCCGTCTCCTTCTGCCCCACCCCCCCAAAGTAAAAGTTCCCTAATAAAACAAGAGTACTCTCTCCACGTCCAAGGTTCCTCTTACCTCCATAATTCTTCTCGTAGGGGAGCCAGCGCCTGGGTGGCTCAGTCGGTTAAGCGTCTGCCTTCCTCAGCCTTTGCATCAAGTCATGATCTCAGGGTCCTGGGATGAAGCCCCGCTGTGGGCTCCCCGCTCAGCAGGGAGTCAGCTTCTCCCTCTGCACCTCCCTATGCTCGTGCTTGCTTTCTTGCTCTCTGCCCCCCCCCCACAATAAATCTTAAAGGGGGGGGTGGGAGCTAATGGAGAATAACATAAGTGGTTTTTTTTCCTTTTGTTTCTCAAACATTGGTAACGTGGATGCTCAAAATCTCAAACCACATTAATTCAAGCTGGAGTTAATAAAATACAATAGTACCGATTCAGTGAACCTCTGTAACCCGTGTATTAACAGAATCAATGTAAAGGTGTGGGAACTTTATCTGGCTCAAAGATGAACTTGCTGGGAGGATCTATCTTGTTCCCCATGAATCTAAGACAGATCCAATCACCCTAGCAGACAATCTGTTCCCTAAACAAGATTAGGGAATCAAGTTCCCTAAAACAAGATTCATCTCTCCATGTCCAAGGTCCCTTTCACCTCCATAATTCTCCTGGAACATGTCATTAATGAGAGGCATGACATTTCTGCTAGGAATGGTACATAAGAAATTACTTGTTTATCGAAGAATTAATGGAAGAGTCTTCAACTACTCAAAAAAAAAATTTCATAAGAAGGATGACAATGGAATTGTACTCTCAAAAGCATCTTATTATAAAATACTTTGTTTTATCCAAATCAGAGTTAAGCCCTTTGTTTGGCATATACTGTACCTTTATTAGAAAATGATACCACTTGATACCACTTGTAATGATTCTAATACTATTTTGGACTAATTTCAGGTCAAACTAATTTGAAACTTTTTACAACCTTAAATCCACAGGTAAAGCATCTTAGGTTATTATACACACTCATGCAGCAGGCTAATATTGCTACTCATAATCTATTTCAAAGTTCCCTAAACCTATCCTCATAAATTCAAAGAGAGAAGGCTACTACGAAACCTACAAGCTTTCCTTGAAAGACTGTTGTTTTATCTTTGTTTCTACTAGAAGCCTTATCACAAATGGTCATTTCCCAGGTTCCTCTCACTATTTCATTCCCTGTCCTCCACCTCCCCTCAACACGAAAACTTAGCCTGGCCCACATTAGGCACTAAAAATCTTTCCTCCGGTAAGAGAAAAACAAGCTATAGTCTGCAAACATAACCGGTACATAACCGGTACAATCAATCCATCAATGTAAACAGATGATACTTGGTACATCAAACCCAGGTCCATTTTGGTAAATTCCCTCCAAGGCCCAAACGTGTGTATTATGCAACAGCCACCATGCCAGATTTTAATCCCTGTGATGCAGTGAAAAAACAGAAACGGCACAAGTATAATCCACTAGGTACTTAGGTACATTTGCGAGAAGATAAATCAAAACAAGAATTACCAAATTCTCAGGAACCCTGAAAATGACAAACTGCGTGACAGTTCTGAATCACAATTACAACTTTTCCTTCCGGTAGTCTTCGAGAAACCTGTTCCGCCAGCCCAACCCCCTCAAAAATCCTCACAAGGGAGTATTTTAATTGATGTTTCGAAAGGATCTCTCAAAGGGGGAAAGGGGCCTGCATCAGGTAGTTACCTCAGAATCTAATAATCTAAAATAATTTAAGATACCCACACCAATTTCCAGAAGCTGAAAATGGAGTAAGATGTTTCATCATTTCTCCCCAAGGACAATAATGGGAGTAAATGTAATCCAGGTCCCTGAAGCATAAACAACCGAGGGCTCAATGCTTCACCCATCGATCTCCTGGGGCACAGGCCTCGAAAAACTGCACAATGGGCAGCTAAGAATTAGAACAAAACTGCAATGACCTGCATTCTAGAAGAGAACCTATACGGTATCTAATCCAAAAGAAGCTGAAGGTAAGGGAGGTGGTCAGAGCATCTCCGGAGGCCACCTGCGTGGCTGAACCCGAGCCTAAACGTCTCAGCGCGCCGCCTCACCAGGTCCGCTCTTCACCCCAACGGGGCCACCGGCGAGCGCGGACAGGCTCCAGGTGGGGCGCAGTGGGAGCGGAGGGGGCTCGGCACGCAGCAGCTGGGGAGCCGAACGCGATCCGAGGCCGGCCAAGAAGAAGGCGGCATTCCCTCACACAAAATGGTGGCGCTGACGAGGAGGCCGGCGCACCTGGGGGCGCGCCACACGCCCCTCGGGGGACCCGGCCGGCCGCCGGCAGCTGGACGCGCGCCCGGGGCCCGGGAGGCCGGCGTGGGCCTGCGCCGCGGCCGAGTCCTCAGGGCGGCCCGCAGCCCGCGGCTCGCGTCGCCGCCCGCGGGGGCGCGGGTCCGAGGCCGGCGGGGCGCGGGGTCGGGCGCGGCAGCCTCGGCCTCAGCCCGAGGCCCCCCCGCCCCGGACGGGCTGGCACTCACCTCGGACGCGCCTCCGAAGCCACCGGAGCCCGGGAAAGGAGGCGGAGCCGCGGGAATGAATGGAGCCGGCGGCTGCTCGCTGGCGACCCCCGGCCGGTCCCGGGCCGCGCCGCTCGCGGCTGCCAGGGCGGGTGCGGCCGCCTCCCCCTCGCCCGGGACGCCTGGCTCCTCGTCTGCGGGTCGGCCGCAGCCCACCGTGCCCTCCGCCGGCGTGACGCACTCGCGCCGCAGCGCCTCCAGCCTTTGCAGCCGCGCTGCGCCCGCGCCCACCGCGAATCCCCCCGCCCGCGCCGCGCGGCCCCTCCTCGGCGCCGGGGACGCCGCCCAGCCTCCCTCCGGGCCCGGCCTTCAGGCGACCGCCGGGCAGGTGCGGACTCGGACAGCCGGGGCGGGGGGGGGGGGGGGCGCCGGGCTGCCCCCGCCTCGCCCCCGGAGCCCGCTCTCCGCCCGGGCCGCCGTCACAAGGCAGAGCGCGATGCCCCAGCTCAGGGCTATGGCCCGGCATTAAAGAGTGACCTTGGCTTAGATATAAAAATAGGTGCGGGTAAGCTGAGGGGACTACGACGCTGACTTTGCGCGTTCCTTTAATGTCAACATTCACAGAATCCCGTTTGCACACTCCGGCGGAGCTCTCCTCCGGCGGGCCCTCCCAGAATTCACACTGACTGGGTGAGCCGAACCGTCCCGGCCTCGCCACTCGGATGCGGAGGGCGCGGGCGAGGACTGTGGGCCTGCGCCCCGCCACTTCCTTCCTAAACCCACTGCCACCTAGGAGGACGCAAGGGAAAAGGAAGTCGAGCTCTCCATTCATAACCTGGACAAGCCCGAGAGCCCCGACTTCCATCTTGAGATCATAAGGAATCACTAAATTCCTGCACTGACCTTTTCTCTTCCAGAATCTAGCACACGCAAACTAACCCTGACCCAGAAGGAAGGCGGCCCCATCCTCCTTTCCTCCCCTTGCCCTCCCAACTCACTTAAGGGCCCTTTTGTTAATTACAGTCCCCCGGAAGAAAGATACGCTCTCAAGCATTTAAAGCATGGTAGATTTCTTCAAAGTAATGCATGCCATGGTTTAAGTATGTTTAAGAAATGTATTAAGGAACAGTATTGTATGTAAGTAATTTTAAGACTTCCTCTTATACATAAACTCTTGGAAATAAACTAACCCTCCAAGAGCCGTAGCGTTGTTTTCAGCTCATCCAGTAAATACGAAATTATTTTTTTCACTTCTTGGAAATATTTGGCAATCACAATAGCAATCTTTAACAAATTTAAGTGATCAACAAGCTCAATAAATACTTCAGAGAACACTTGTTGATAGTAACATATTGGACTCAGATTTTTTTAATCAAATAGGCTTCTCTGCCTCGAGCTTCTCTTAAGAAACAACCTCATATTTACTATGTTTAATTAATAATATTTAGCAGAAATCTTAAATGTTACACATCAAACATTTACCATTTGTAGTGGAACTTAATAAACTAGACCTAATTGAGCAGGAATTTTGAATAGTTGGGGTTTTTTTGTTTTGTTTGTTTATTTTGATAGAGACACAGCGAGAGAGGGAACACAAGCAGAGGGAGAGGGAGAAGCAGGCTTCCAGCTGAGCAGGGAGTCCCATGCTGGGCTCCATCCCAGGACGCTGTGATTATGACCTGAGCCGAAGGCAGACGCTTAAGACTGAGCCACCCAGGCGCCCCTGAATAGTTGGGTTTTATGCAAAGCAAATGTTGAATGAATGAACTCCAAAAACTTTTGAATTTATATTTCTAAAGCTGTATATAAGTAGGAGTCCCTGTGATAATCCCAAACAATTGCCACTTTGGGAAGACATTCCTTTTTTTGCTACCAGAGGCTACAGTTGTTGAAGCCTTAGGCCTCAGTGCAAAGCTAGCCAGAGCAACCTGTTAATAATTTTGAAATGCATGACTTTTAGCTCTAATTTCTACAGGTGGGTACTTGAGCCTGGAAGGCTTGTTTTCCCAAATGTCTGGCCACTCTGGTGGGAATCAGAACTACACACTCACCCAGCCCATCCAGGCAGCTAAACCCAGCTCTCCTGTGGCAAGGATCCTACCTTCTGAGACCCACTGAAGAAGTGCTGTCTCCTACTTATGTGAGGAGTGTCTGATGAGGACACTCTGACTGCCTTCCCTTTTCTCTACTGCAACATTATGTGGCCTTGAGTGTTTAAGGGAAAAAAAATCACCATTTACTTACCTTTTTGGCAGAGATTCATTAAATTCTGGTTGTCTGTTTACCCATACTCTTGAGGATCCATGAGACCTTAGTGAGCAGAGACATAAAAAAGTGAGTCTTTATCAGTTTAATACATGCTGTAAACCATTACCAAAACATTTTGAAATATGTTTGAGGCTTTGTCTAAAAAGTTTTGTAGAGTGTAAAAGGATTGTTTTGTTTTGTTGTTGTATATGCTTGCTTTAATTATTTTAAGTTATAAGCAGAAAGAAACACGGTAAGAGTTTCCATTGCATTTTTAGTATATGTTAAAAGGGGAGTGGAACCATGTTTAGAGAAGCTTGCCACAACTGGATTTTGGAGGTTGCTGACACAAATGACCCAGCGAAGAGTCCTTAAATTTCCCTGGGAAAGAGGAATCTCTAATGGCTAAAATAATGGCTAATGTTTTTGACTGCTAACAAATGGCCGGGCACTCTACTAACTTCTTTGTGGAAATAAACTCATAATCATCCTTCAAAGTACATACTACTGTTATTCCCATTTATTTTTTTTTAAGATTTTATTTATTTATCTGAGAGAGAGAATGAGAGAGAGAGCATGAGAGGGGGGAGGGTCAGAGTGAGAAGCAGACTCCCCGCTAAGCAGGGAGCCCGATGCGGGACTTGATCCCGGGACTCCAGGACCATGACCTGAGCCGAAGGCAGTCGCCCAACCAACTGAGCCACCCAGGCGCCCCTGTTATCCCCATTTAACCTGAGAGATTGAGGCACATGGAGAAGCTAAGTAACTAGCCCATGATCACACAGCTAATAATCCTGGCAGTTTGGCTCAAGTCATACTCCCTTAACCAGGATCCTGTACCACCTTTCAGGTGCACAAAATCCTATGCCATACAGCCATATGATTGGATTTTGCTTTTGAATCCCTAAAACATACCAAATACTCAGTGCCTTCATGACTAACTTATTTCTTAGATCTGCTAGTATATTCCTGGACATGAAGAGAGAAGTTAAACCCTTAGTTAGAAAACTTGTAAGACTTCCCCATCTATGTTAAGCAAAATCGTATAATCTGTTGGTTTTGAAAGGAAAAAAAAAAAAAGCTTTTCACATTTTTTTAGAAGATTTGATTTATTTAAGAGAGAGAGAACAAGATACAGAGCAGAGCGGGGGGGAAGGGCAGAGGGCAAGGGAGAAGCAGACTCTCCTGCTGAGCAGGAAGCCCCATGCAGGGCTCCATCTGAGGACCCTGGGATCATGACATGAGGGAAAGGCAGACAGCTTAACGGACTGAGCCACCCAGGTGCCCCACTTTTCACATCTTTTAAGGATAATTGCTCTCCATTGCTCTCCAAGTTTTTTTCAGGTTCCAGAGCACAATTACAAGTTTTATTTATATTTATTTAATGTATGGATGAAACACGATTCCCCAGAAGAGATCTGTTACCATCTTTGACCCTCTATTAGATTTACACGGGTAGAATTAGGATCTAATATATAGAATACATGTGTTTTAAATTCATAAAAATCACAGTGAGAAGTTTTTTTGTTTTTTATTTTATTTATTTATTTGACAGAGAGACACAGTGAGAGAGGGAACACAAGCAGGGGGAGTGAGAGAGGGAGAAGCAGGCTTCCCCAAGAGCAGGGAGCCTGATGCAGGGCTCGATCCCAGGACCCTGGGATCATTACCTGAGCCGAAGGCAGACGCTTAACGACTGAGCCACCCAGGCGCCCCTCACAGTGAGAAGTTTTTAATGACTGAGGCAGCCCAGGGACTTACAGATCCAAAATCTTAGCCAGTTAGTTAACGAGTTAGCTAATAATGTCAGCCGTGGCAAAGGAGCAATAAGAAAGCAATCTTTTCTCCTTGCACTAGAAGAAAAGGGACTCCACATCCTAGAATACTTTATTTCTCTAGTATATAAAATATGTCACAGGAATGCTTTCAGGATTAAATGCAGCTGTTTGATGAGGTTTTCTTTGCCAGGAACTACAACTATCTATCTGCAGATTTCAAATTCCTGAGTGATACTCTGCACCGCGGATTGGGCGAAGGTAGAGCCTGAAGAACAAGAGAAATACCAGGTTTGAGAAGCCCGGTTACACTTGTTTCTTCTGTTGGTTTGGTCTAATATGAAATAGAAGTTTAATCACAGAGTAAGTATTTGGTAAGTTCAGTCTGGGTTTAGAGAAATAACATGGTATTTTTCATATTACTAAAGAAAAATTACATACATATTTACATCTGTGGGAGATACTACCAAGTTGCCTAGTCAATATTTGTCCCCCCTTTTCTCTGACAGACCCAATTTTGTTCAGGGTGGCAATGTACCCAACTAAAACTATTTTCCTCTCCAGATTCCTTTTGCACCTGGGATAGCTATATGATCATTTTTGGCCAATGGAATGTAAGCAAAAGATCATTAGGTAAAGCTTCCAAGAAAGCTTTGTTGTTGTTTTTTTTTAAGATTTTATTTATTCGACAGAAAGAGAGACAGCACAAGCAGGCAGAGTGGCAGGCAGAGGGAGAGGGAGAAGCAGGCTCCCCACCAAGCAGACAGCCCGATGTGAGACTCGATCCCAGGACCCTGGGAACATTGACCCGAGCCAAAGGCAAACGCTTAACTGAGCCACTCAGGCGCCCCAAAGCTTTGTATTTCTGATAAAAAAAAAAAAAAAGACAGATTCAGATACCCCTTTGCCTCTTGCCCTTTGACCATGGGAATGAAATCCATGTATAACTATACCAGAGCCAAGAGATAGGAACCCGGGAAATGACATTATGGAGCTGCCACACCAATTACACACTGCCTACCTCCAAGTCTTCTGTGTTATTTTCCAACAAATGCAGTCCTAACTAAAAGTCAAAGTTAAACGCTATCTCCTTGATATCTAAAAATACAATAAATAAAAATAAACATTCTTCTATAGTATATATACTATACCATATAGATACTATTCTTTGATTTTTGCTCCTGTATTAAGTAACTGCATTTTGCAGAAATCAGTGCT